GGGGGGGGGGGAGGGGGATAAATCGTCGAGAAGACAAATGCCACCGTGATCGTCCACTAATTTATTACGGGGGATCGGAATGAAATCGGCGAGGAATCGCGGTCGGGCACGAAAAAAGGCGCGGTTCTCCGCGGGAACAATGTGCTGCGCACCGGTAGCGGCGATTGCGGGGATTGAGAAGAGGACGATAAAGAGGATGCCGAGGGAAGAAGGAAAACGCTCATCTCCTGCGATTCCCTTCCTCGCGAACGACGAAAAGAGGAGAAGAATCAGAGAGAGGTCCTCGGACGGCCGAGCGGGTCGACAAAGAGAGAAGGAGACCGGCGCGGACGACGGTGCGATAGAACGAGAAAGGGAGAGAGAAAGAGAGAGGCGGCAGGCGCGGCCAGGACGATGGAGCGAGATGGAAAGCGCGGCTCGCTCGCTCGGCAGTCGGTTCCCACGGCTGCGCAGCATACCTCCACCTTCTCTCGCCTCTCTTTTCCCTTCTTCTCCTCCGCTGCCGTCGTTCCTCTCCTCGGGCCCGCGTGCTCCTCTTTCGATTTCTCCGTCTCGCTCGTTCTTGCCGCCGCCGCTATCTCGCTCGCGAGCAGACCGTCCTCCTCCTCTTATCCACTTCCCTTCTCTCTCTCTCTCTCTCTCTCTGCCGACGCGCGTTTCTTCACGTACAACAGGACGTAGCTGCAATCTCGGAACGCGTATATACGCGCGTATTAATCATCGCGGAAAACGGTCGCGCGGAGAAAGAGGAAGGAGGGCGAACGGTCGCATGTAAATGCACCGCGCGAGGGTGTCGTCGCTCGTTATCCTCGGTTTCCTCTTCCTCCTTTCGAAGGCGGCCGCGAAAATTTCACCGCGAGCGCGGAAACGCGCGTTACCTAACGCCAAGATGCCGTCGCTATGCGACCAGGAATGAGAGGACGTGTAAAAATAGACGGATACACAGCGACCATCCTCGCCATGCAGCCGATTACCGGAGAATCGAAAATATCAAGAGAGAGGGAGTATTTTTCGGTAATGACCGACGTTGATATTAAAGAAATGAGAAACGCCGCGCAGGAATGTGGAAGCTTTATACGCGAGCGGCACGAAAAAGCGATATAATTACTCGTAAGTGGAAACGAATGGCTCCCTTCCTCGTTCGCAGTAATGCGAACAAAAGTCACGCTTTCACGGGCCATCCTTAATGTGAAGCGATGCGGCCTGTTTTATTAATGCTCGCTTCGATCGGCCATTAGCGTTTCCAACTTTCGACTCTTATTCTAATCAATCACTAGTCGTCGCGTCACACGGAGGAATTCTGTAACGTAAGAACGGCGATGATACACATCGACGTAACCGGTTTCCCCTTTCGCAGATCTGCATGATAAAAAGATGTCTATATATACAACAATTAATCCCGGGTCGGCCGGAAGGGAAGGAGACAATAACAGCCGCTTTTCCATCGTTCGTGGGACGAATGAAACAGTCAATAAGGTTCACCCGCATCAGCGTCCACGAGGGGTCTCGAGGAGAAGGTGTGACGTGCTGTATTTTAACTGCACCGACGACGTCTCTTAACCATCCCGGCCGAATTCTGGGCGATCCGCGCGAATGAGACGGATAATTTCGGACGTGCCAGCAATTAATAGCTTCTCGCGTGAAAGAAAGCTATGTATCTTTGTGTTTCCCTGTATCTTCGCCCCCGAAGTTACGAAAACAGACGGCTGACACATACACACGCGGCAGACGGCAAAGTAGCCTTGGGACAAAAAGCTATTTCGTCATTATCACGCAGGACCCCTCTACTTAAAGCTCCTTTTTTTATAGCCAGGAGGAGACTCGCGCGACAAAAGGGCGGCAGGAAGCGAGCCTGGGAGAGGAAACGGGTTAAGAAATACTTCCGCGTAAACGGTGCCCCAGGCGACATCGTAATGAATCTGAGAGAGCGAAAGAGAGAGAGGAAACCGGAAGCGCATCGGGAAACGACGCATCGCGACCGTTACCTGAGACGTTGATAGCCGTCACTTTTGCGCTCTCGCGGGATAAATTCGAGCCCGAACTCGATTCACGTCGACTGGCGAAAGGGAACTTCGCGAGTTTTACCGTTACCGAGTTACGACCGGTGGTGGCTCGCCGCTTCTATCGCGAACGAACACTCGTTCTTTCGAGAGAAAGAGAACGTGTATCAGGTCTAAATATATTTTCTCATTACTACGTGCAGAGTCAAATACCGATACAATTAACTCTAAATTGTTTAAAACACATCCTGCGCGAGAAGGATTGCGACCACCGAGAGTGACCTCTCGGTGTCGAGTAACAGACACCACACGTACGCGAAAATGAAGGCAGAAAGGAAGGAAGGAAGGAAACAAGTGAAGTGACGCGCGCGGCCAAGAATCGGCCGGTAGAGAAAGAGGTCGATCGCGTGCGTGTCTCGCTAGCTTGCGCGGCGAAACTAAAAATACGCGCGAGTTTCGGGAACTGAGGCGTCGCGTCGTCGCCTTTCCCTTCTTTTTCATGTCCACGTAATTTACGTTAAATCGCTTCGCGATACGATGCGCCGGTGTCGCTTCACACTCGCTCGCTCGCTCGCTCGGTCATTCATTCGACCTTTCGCCGCTCGTGCCTTCGTCTGGGACGCGAATCACGCAGCCTTTTCGGCCGTGGGACCCACAGCTCGCTCGGCCCTCGTCTCTCGGGCCCCACCTTTCCTCCCTCCTCCCCCTCTACGCCTCGCGATTCCCACCGCTTTCGCGGCCCCCTCGTCCACCCCGTTCTTCCTCGGGCTCGCAATCGCGTTCCGCGAAAACGCACTCGAGGATGCTTACGACTCGTGCGTTTACTCACCAGACAGCTTCCGCAATGTGCATTGATTTTTATAGCGTCGATAAAGATGCTACTTGATAGATCCCCTCGAATATCGCAAATTAACGTCTGTTATCGATTCGTCATCGGAGAAGCGCGCGACAGGTTGCAATCTCGCGGAAGAAAGTAACGGGCGTCTAAAGATAGAATGGCACGGAGGAATTCCCAGACTGGATGACGAAAGCGGCGGAAGAATGGAGGTGCTGCACGCGTTTGCGATAATCGCACGCGGAAAATCGCGTAATGCAGCGTCGTCGGTGCACTTCGCCGACGACGATCGAGCACGGCAACAGTGGTCGCACTGTCGCGGGTCGCCTCGTGCTGTTTTAATAAGGCGGCTCGTGTACACGAACGTAAGCCAATTAAGGCGCACGCACGCACGCGTAACAAACAGCGCGTGTGTAGAAGATCGCGGCATGCGCGAAGGTTACGTATGGAAACACACGAGAGCGTCCTTTGAGAGGTCCTGTCGAGAAGTATTTTGAACAAATGCGTGGATGACTGTTCGTTCCTCCTTGATCCTCGAGACGATAACTTTCTCACAGACGCGTGTGGAGCTGATTATTCTCCAGCGAAAGTGTCTCCGTCGGTGTATTACAATTAATTAAGATTATAAAATAAATTACCTCGACTATTGGACAGATGTTTCGAAGGCGATATAAATCTGTCGTTCTACGGAATGATTTCGCATATTTTGTCGCTTGAAAAGTCGCTAATGAATTGTATAACGCCGAGATGCGAAATTTGTTTTGATCAATCGTCCGTTCACCTCGCCGCCCGGGAGACGCAACGCACGACGAGGCATCCAATAATTCGTCCGCGATTTCGCAGAGTCGCGCCGCTAATTAAGTAAGAACATCCAAACGAACCTGTCTCGACTATCGTGACAGAGAGGATGATGCTAATCCGCGCGTCTCGCTCGCACAGCATGGAAGTGATTTACGCGAGTTGCACGTAACTGTTATTTATAGAGGCTATTTTATCGGTTCGTCCGATACGTCGCGTATACGCCCCGGTCATTTTACTAATTGCAGGCTCGGAGCGTAATCAGCCACGGCAACGACGCGCTAATTCGTTTCTTTCCTCCCTCCCACCTTCGTAAATCGCTCTCGTGGCGTAAAAAACACGCCGGTTTTTGCAAACTCACTCGCGACGCGACGCGCTAAATCGAGAGTCGAAAAATGTCCCGTTCGCTCGCTCAGAGCGAGTAAGGAGGAAATTCGCGCGCTCGTTAAATTACAGCCGCACACTCGGTGTGTATATACAGCGAAATTGGCCGGGAGTCGTCTCCTCGCCCGTCGAACTGTTTGCACCGAGATCAAAGTGTAACAAAGACGACGGGCGCTTTGAAGCTGCAAAAATAAATCCTACTCCGAATAGCGATTGCGGCTTACGTTGCTTCCGAACTATTTCGCCGACGATTCGCGCGAGAGCACGGTCGATGATATCCGGAACCGCCGAAAGAACAAGTCTTCTTCCGAGAAGTCGAGGCTACCGACAAACTTCGTTTGATGCTACATCAAAGCCGCCGGGTGGTAACCGCTATCTCTCTCCCTCGGGATAATTTCGACATTGGTTGCGTCGCGATAGCGTCCTATCGGACGCGGGCTGCGGGCGCGAACCGCCGGTGGTAAATGTCGAAGAACGCACGTGCCGTACCATCCGGGTGTAAGCGGAAGAAGAAGAAAGAGAGAGAGAGAGAGAGAGATTTATTTTGCTTTCAAAACCCAGCCGATATACAATGTACTCCAACTGACAGATGCACGTTTAATATACTGTAGAAAAAGAAAGGGAAACCTGATTAATTTCGGCGCGTCGAACACGCACGGTAAAATACAAGTGCATTCCGACGAGAAAGAAACTAACGGCGTCAAAGGGGAAAAAGAGCATATAGACGGACAAATACAGAAACGAAATAAGTAGATGCAAGAAGCGAGAGAAAGAGAGAGTCGCTCGTTAGAGGCACGAGGGGCGCCATATGGGTTAGTAAATTTAACTCCGCTCGCTCGAGAGAAAGATCGGCGCAGACGGAAAGGGAGAAAGAGAGAGTACGTGGGAAGTGTAGAGGCGCAAAAGGCCCCGGCCATCTGCTGCCGGCGGCCCTGCAGAGAGCGGTCGGTCTCATAGTCGGAACCGTAGTCAGAAAATGCGCGAGCACCGACGAGAGGATTGACGCGCGCCCAAGGATGATGCTGCGGCGCATTGGCGCATACTTTCGGCCCAACTCACCTCTCTTTCTCTCGAGCGCAGTCAGTGCACGCGGAAAACGAGGATGATTAGCTTGCGTGACCCGTCCTCGATCGCGGCGGTATCCTCAGCCCCGTAAATTGAAGTCGATAAATAGTCAATCGGCGAATCGCGCAAATCACGTTACGTCGCAGCCTTGGTGACGTTTATATAATATCGCGTTCGAACAGTTATATCCTTTCCGCTTTGCATGTTTATTAACGCCGATTCTTATTTGATAATCGAGAACGAACGTGATATTTTTGCTTTCATGATTGCAAAATGGAATAACTAAAGGAAATATAATATCTGGGGAAAAAGATCCATTTCCTTTTTACTCTCGGAAACTTTTTTTCTCTCTGCCGCTTTTCTCGATCTTCACCGAATCGATAGAGATCGGAAATTTAAGCCATGATCTGCACATGGAAAAAATTCTGTTGAATCAATAAAATTTCCAACAGCAGCATAATTGGAGTAAATCTGCTTGATTTAATGGCAAATATTAAAATTATCATGCTAAGTACGTCTGAATTATAGTATTAGTTTTAATGATATCGCTATTGAATCAACAAGACTTACTCCGATTACCCGTGTTGTTAAAAATTTCACTGAGCATTCTTCTTTCCACTTACAGGCCATAATTTCCAGTACAATTGAGAGACGCGGTACCTTCCCGTCGTTCGATTTAAAGTTAATCGCGGGAGCAAATCACGAGTTTCTTCCGTTCGACGCCTATGAAAGCCAAAGCATCGCCAGCAACAGCATCAACAACAGCAGGAGGGAAAGACAAGTGCTACTCTCCCCTTGTCGCTCTCTCTGTCCCTACTTCTTCCTTTCTCTCAGCGGCATCTGCCATTCGGCTCCCTCTCTCTTCGTTGCACCGACGACTGCAAGCGCACGCACGCGTGCAAGCGACGCCAGCACGCGTCGTGCGTGCCACGCAACGAACGCAACCCCCGTATACAGTGTACGTACACGCTCTCGTTTTTTCAACACAATCAACCTGTCTCGCGGCTTTGCAACGCGCGAAAGTAGGAAGGGAAAAAAGGCAGATGTGCCGGGCAACGCATGTAAGAGATGGACAGAGATAACGCCCTTTTCGTTAATTGCGCGCGTCAAGCAAGACAGAAATCAAAGTGGTGGCAAGCGCCGACCTGTTGCGACGCGTGCAGCGTCTTCTTCCTCGACCACGGCGTTTCCACGCAATTGCGCACGGCATCGGCAAAAACGACACGTATTCGAAACCGCGCGTCGGAATTTACAACGCGCCGTGCAAGATTTCTATTATATCTTGCGCGCACGTGGAAAAAAGCAAGCTCGCTCGCAGACAGCCACGTGTACTCACTGTCCGTCCATCTGTCTTCGCGATTTCTTTCGTATGATAGTTGGCAACGGCGACCTTCAGGAGCGGCGAGAACGAACGGGTTTTCGGTCTCGTTATGCAGCGGCGAGTCCGCATTAATTAGTCGAGCCGACGAGAGCGCATCTACCTATACGCGGAGGTAACATCGCCGCGAAAGGGCGGCGACTTTGTCCACACGCGCGATTCCCTCTCTGCAATTTCTCGCGCGCGCGTTGGCGATAACTATCTTAGCATCCAGTCACGGACAGAAGCGTTGTTCTTTTTCGCGATGCTCTGAGTATCGAGTTCGCTGCTTTTGCCGACTTATTGCCAGTTTTACGCGTTCCTCTCGCACATTCGCGCTCGGAGAAACGAAGGCGGGCTCGATCAATTATGATACATATTCATTTTATATAACAGTTACGAAGGTAATTTATATATTCGTAAAAATCTGTAAAAAAAAACCTGTCGCTTTATCAACGATTTATTTTTGATCGCGTAACATTGTGGCATGGATATTTAGCACGTGAATATTGCAGTGGAAATTACATTACGAAAATTACGACATTAGCCGATATAATTGCCTTTTTCTCCGTGTTTTTTCGCGATTCTAGTTACGCGTCGCCTCACTATATGGAACGCGCTGTACTCGTCGCCACACGGTCGTCAACATTTCTTACGTCCCACATTAAATCGCTTATGCTAATCGTTCACGGCTCCGGTAAATAGAAAAAGAGGGAGAAAGGAAGAGGAGGAAAAAATCGCCACACACGCACTCCTCTCGCAAGACGTCGTGTCGACACGACGCGGCGGTGTCCGTGAAAGTTTGTAAATCACCGCGCGCACAATTCGACAAAGAGATATCCTACGCGTATTCGAGACAACGGCACGGTGTTTCACGTCATCACTGGATATCACAGCTGTAGAAAGTCCGACGAGTTTTCCCACGGCAAAAATTCATTCGCAGGCAGATGCGACTTTCTAATATTCAGCGTTGAATATCGCGTCGAATCGGCCGAAGCACGCACAATCATTTGTCTTTAATTAACGCATCCACACGGTAAAAAGAATTATTAATTTCGTCTCGACGAAATCGTGCATGCATCGTAGAGAGAAACTCACCGGCCACGTAAATTCGAACGGGAACCTGATGGGATTGGTGAAGCTCGACATGGCGACATTAGCGCTGAGGTTGACCACGTTCTCGCCGAGAATGGGCGTCACTACGTCGCCGTACGTACACGCCGACGTAGTGTCGATCTTCACCTGGTACTGCTTCAGACAGACCCGAAACCTCGTCTTGCAGACGCCCGAGCACTCGCCCGTCCTGGACACGCTGCCGGAACAGCACTTGCCCAGGCTGTCCTTGCCGTACTCGTTCACGAAGGACTTTAGTCTCAGCTCGAACACCCCCGAGGCGTGCACCTGCAAGAAAATCATACACGCACGTGTCAGCTTGGTGTCGTTCCTGAAATTCTCGAAGCCCTCGAAATGAGTTAAAACGATATCAGCAAAGAACGCAATTTGGAAAATTGAAAAAAAAAACAAGAAAAAAAAACTGAAATTGTCATATTAATATCAAGTAGCAAGCTTATCGCTTTGCCTATTTATGTTAGATTAAAATTGTATCGTATACTATATTAAGCGGTAACACGTTGAAGAGCGATAATACGGCGGAATCATTGAAGCCTAAAGGAAGAAGTACTTGGACTCGGTTTAAGAACATTAATAAATGGAGAAGTAAATTCGACTCTAAGTGATCGCTGTTGAATGTTTCGCTAACGATTAATTAGGAATGTAGGTTATATATAACAGCGCATACATTCTCTATGTTGACTTCTTTTATGGCATTCCACTAAAATTTAAACGTTCCATAAAATACATCTTATGTTCTTTCTACATTAATTTAATTATTCTATTCATTACGAATCGTGCCTGCTTCAATCTATAGTAAACTAATATTGTAAACTAAAACGTTCCTGTAAGTAAAAGATCTATTTTATTACAGGGAGTCGCGTAAAGAGAAGAGGTCAGGGGCGTCGAATCACGCGGAGTACCTTCAATGATCTCACGTGCAAAGCAGCTTCAATAATGTGGTCTGGCTCGGATCATCGCGCGAGAAGCATGAAAAACGTCTCACTGTCGAACGAGAGACTCTCTTTCTCTCCGGGACGGACGCCGTCTCGTGCCCCACGACGTGAAACGCCGCAGGAGCACGTGTGCGCGCGCGTTTTTGCGAACGCGTGTCACGCACGCACGTCTCCCAGGAGGAGAAGCCGAGCAACGAGTCGACCCGACAAAAAGGGCGCGCGTCTCCTCGGTCGTTCGAGAGAGCGTGTATGTGATGCTTCGTCGTCGCTGTTGAATCACGAAAACGCGTTCAACTCGGCGCCTACTTGCCGAGGGTTTCAGTTTAATTTAATCGATCGAGCGCGTTCGGGCGAAGTTCCCGAACGTTGCAGGGAACACTTTCCTCCCGCTGAAAAGCACGCGAGTCTCGGGGGAAATGGAGAGAGCGAGTTAACGTCTCCTCCGAAGTATCGCCGTGATTGAGCCGGTGACGTCGTGTAAACAGCGCCGACGTCAAAATACACGTCTGCCATTTTTCCCGTCCACGTCGTCGCGACGCCGAGAGAGTGCTCGATCGCTGTGGACACAAACGGTCCACGTATACGATACCTGTGTGTGTGTGAAGGCGCGCGCAAACAGGCTTCTAGACGAGGCTTCCCACGAGATATTGTATAGCCGAGAGCGAACGGTAAGTCCTTTCGCGAGGTCCGAGCGACGGAGCTCGGCATTAGCCTTCCTTATCGAACTCGCGGATCGTCTTGCGATCGCATCGATTACACGCACATACGAGCTCTCCGGCATCAGGAAATGGGATAAACGGTAAGTCGCCCACTGATTTTTTTCTACGCTTCTTTAAGGGCTGGAGTATCATTACGCTCTAATAGTACGATAGACTCCGTAACGCGTGTCGAGTTTCCTACGAGTCTCCCTTCGACTGGAACCGAGATGCATCGTCACGATCGACGGTATCGCCGTCACGTCATCGCGAGTTCGGCAAGTGAGACGTTCCACGCGACCTTGCGCGACGGAAATAAAGCGCGTTCGTTCGCGGATGCATTCGCAAAGGCGATCGGCTATTTTTGCGAAGCGAAAGGATAAATAACGTTTTTTGTCTTCGGCACGCGCGCGCTTGTTTTCTTCCTTTACGTTTCCGTGCGGCGACTGCTGCTTCTACCCAAGTTTATTTGCTCGAGACGCAGAGCTCGCCTCGGACGAACGTACCTTGCGCCTTTGTCGCCGATCGCTATCACCGCTTGCGGACGGAAAGCGCGCGACCCCTCGTCGCAAGCAAATCCGTCCCGTTACTTCGCGTCGCAAACGAGCGCAATACACATCATACGAGAGAGAGAGAACGTATACCGGCGCAGGCCCTCGCGATGAGGAATCTCATTTTTGGCGCGCTGGAAGGCTATTCTTGGAACGGAGAATGGCCGCCGCGCGTATTTACGGACACACCAGGCCGACGCGCGGTGTGTTTCGTCACACAAAACGAATTTCGCCGCACCGGCCACCCTTCGGACGCGCGATTCACACCTCGTCTGATGCACACATCCGGCGTAACAAAGGACTTTTTCCTGCGAGAATTCCGCCAAGTTTCACGAATAAGCGGCCGCGCGCTCTCTCAACACCGTGCGATAGTAGCAGAAGAACGGGGGCCGGCCAGGAAGCGGTGGTGGAACGGGAAACAGAAGCGGGGTTAGACACTTCTAAAAGAGTGCGTCCAGATTTAGAGTTGCGTGCGGCCGAATCTGCCGTTAGGGACGCTTTATACTGTAAGAGAGCGGAGAAAGAGGATTTTGTACGCTTGAGAGAATCGAATCTCCTTCTCCTCCTCTCCCTCCTTGCAAAGAAAGGAAGAGCGAGTTAAGCCAGTTAAGAATGTATACGGCATTAACGAGTCAAAAGGTCTTGGGATTAAGAAGGTAGGTACACCACCGCGGGAAGGTAGCAAACTCTACCTGCCGAGTTACAAAATCGCACGGAACGCCCAGAATGAAATTTATTATTCCTGCGAAAAAATTGGCGAGCTTACAAGCAAGGTCCTCTCCGCGCCCTTCGATTGACGGTATCGAAAGTATCGTCGGAGATGCGTGCGCACGCGAAGGGAGAATAAGAGGGAGCGGAGAGAGGACCGGGAGACATCTCTCCCAGGAAGAACTCCCTCGGAATTCGTGCACCACTCGTAGCATTCGAAATACCGAGAAAGAGGACGTCAAATGCAATAAGTTCGATTACGTTGGGATAACTGGAGCAGCAACACACATTGTGTACGTGACTGAACTCACTGTGCCGCACAGATCAATTTCGTAAGTGTAAGTTGGGCGGAAAATTAAGTGTTACTTGAAGAAATCCTTTCTTTCAGTGGAGGATTAGATCAACTGCGAGACCATAGATTTGACGTTAAATTCAAGGAGATAATCGCGGTCACACGGCCGTTTAATAACGTGTCATAGGTATCGCGGATAAACGCACACAAAACATGCTCAATCGCGGATAAACCGCGACTTGCGCAAGTGATCCGAGCGAGAGAACGTATTATGGATCATTATGAAACGCGAGTCGATTACGTCGAGTCTATTCCGATCTCTCGCGCGCATCTGCGGCTACGGTCGTGCGGCGCCTTCCTTTTTCTCGCACAACAACGGCGATCTATGCGCGCGTATAAATCTACCCCGCGAAGTCTTATTCAGAGTTCCGAAACGCCATTCATCGAATCGAAATGCTCAAGGTCGACGACAGTTCCGGCGTAGAGTTGACAAACCTCCCTCCTTTTCCTGCCGTACGATAGTAATTACGATACGACACGTGACAAGCGTGTCACTAATGTTTACAAAATCCTTGTTTCATTCGCACGTAACTCAATCACGGGTTGCGTTTCCGCGTATCGGCGATGACGTTTTACCGACACACCGGACGAGAGGTCTGTTTCACCGTTGGAACTACAAATCCCGTCCCTCAATTTTCTTCCCGTTGAAGAATCGGATACTTTTTTTGCGAAATCGCGGATTCGTCGCGTCTCGGCTTAACCCGAACGAGCATCATCTTCGCAATAGCACGACTCGCACAACGTGTAATGCATTCCTAGCTTTCACCGAATTTTCTCGGCGAGGATCCGTGAGAACGCTTGCGTAAGGCAAAGAGGAGGAAACGGAGTGTCCGCCAAAGGCGCGGGTTCGAGGGGACACTTACCGCTCGGGGCGTCGGCAGGAGAACGACGGCGACCGTCCACACGAGCATCGTGGTCCACATGTTGACGACGCGTATCCCGTCGGTGTTTACACGCCGCCGGCGCTTCCCAGCCGGCGGAGGAGACGCGGATGCACCCCCTGCGCTGCTCGTCGCGTCTCGTTGGCGTTACCTACTCGCCACGACGCCGCGGGGTTGCTGCATAGCCACGCACCGTGCGCGATTCTCCCGTCCCGGAAGCGAGCGAGCGAGCGAGCGGACGAACGAACGAACAAACGCGTCGCGCCGGGCGTGCGAACGCCGGTTTGGTATTCGCGGTTTCCGGACCGCGCGGAACAAACTTCGTCGCTGCCTCGCTTCCCACTGTGCACTGCGCGCGAACAGTGCGTTACGATTGGTGATTGGCCGATACCGCGAATATGTCGTCGTCGCGAGAAATGCGATCTCTCTCTCTCACGCGCGGTTCTCACTTTTTTTCTTAATACACACTTGCCGTTGACACACTTTAATTCCAGTATCCGTGGGACGACGATACGCTGAGAGGCTCGCCGGGAAGGGAACGACAACCTTCGCGTCCGTGTTAGGTGGCGAACGATCCTCTCTCTCTCTCTCTCTCTCCCTCTTTCTCTCTTCCTCCTCTTTCTTCTCACCGATGAATCTTCCTCTTCTGTTTACTCAATTCACGAGCGAGACGATCCAGTGAGAGGCGAACGCCGGGGGGGATGGCAAACGAAACTCTCCACTTCGCCAATCGTCGCAACAACGACGAGACGCGCACTGAACGACCGTCGTCGCGCCGCGAGGAATAGTCCCTCGGCAGCACCGCCGTGTCGGAGAAGGGCGGAAGGGTCGAGGGGCAAGGAAGAGAGGGGGAACGGCCCGATGGTGAGGGCAAGCTCGGGTGGTGGTGGAACCAAGGATACCCGCTCCGTGTGTGACGAGTCGAAGACGAACGAGAGTCAATGCGCCCGTCGCGCCGGCGGAGGGGAGGCCTTCTCTTTTTGCGACCGGGGTAGGGAGAGGTGAGGAGCGAAGTTCACACACGAGAAGGCACCGCGACGAAAGTCACCGCACCGCGGCCGCGCTAGTACTGACTCCCGCAGCCGCAGAGATGCGCGTCGTGAAAGTATCAAAAGTCCGACCAAAAATCGCCCGTTCGTTTCCTCGTACACACCTGTCTCTTTCTCCCCCTCTTCTTCCTCGAGAATCACCGTACGTTTCTGTCGCGCCACTAATCGGCCACACTAGCGCCACACCGCGACAGCCACGGCACAGTATCGGCGCGAGCGCCACGATAGATGGCGATCTTTCGGGTCCTCTTCCTCCCTCACTCGTCGACAGCAGCGAACTACTCCCGCGCAATTACGATGCGTGCACACGCGTGCGCGCGACCCTGTGGGTAAGCGACCCGCGCGTGCTCGTCACGGAGTGCAACCCTCGACTGGAGGTAGCAAGGCCGGGAGCACCCCTACTTATAATTGTGGTCCCGCCGGTTCCCCTCCGGGGTTGAGTTGTGCCCTGCGACCGAATCAGAGGGGTGGTGAGTGGCGGCTGCGCGACGCGTGGACTAGGGGGAGCGGTAGGGCGAGAGGGGACAGCGCGAAGAGGCAGCTGCAGGCCGGCTGCACGCGCCCACCCCCACCACCGCGCGACACCCTAGCAGCCACTCGTGCGGACTTCTTGCCTCGCGGACTCCTCGGGGCGCCTGCTGCTCGCCCCGTTTACCCCCCCNCGGCGGCACGCGCCGTGTACCACCACCTCGCGTGTGACGTCATACCCTTCTTTTTAAGCGTATTACGTTTCTTACGCGCGCGAGAGATCACTCGAATATCGAGGCAATACGCATGTTACGTAATGGCAGGGGAGAAGCTGGTTAACCGGAGTAAGCGAGCTTTTCTCTCAAATTTCCCCGAGAAACACAGATTGCAATGCAGCCATCAGCTGCGTAATCGATTCATTTTTATTCGTTCGGTATATTGCACGCGGACATGTGAGAGATAAGTAACGAGGTGACTATCGGCGCGAGAGTGCCGAGAAATCGACCGGGCGTAATTAAGCGCGACGCACCTGCAACCTACCGAAGCTGAGTGTCTCGTAGAAATATTTAATTTGCCGCGCGAATAATTCACCAAGAGGCATGTCCAGCACCGGCACCGATATTGGTTCGATACACGAGCTGAGATAAATCAGTTCTCGCGGGAAGTCACGCGAGTCGCGCCGAAAGCGATGGGCACATCTGCCGGTGTTTCGCAAATCTCCGCTCGAGTCCAATCGCGATTACTCCGCATTTGCATCGCGCTATTGAAAATCGCTCCTTTTTGCGGATGAACTCGGCTCCTGCGGACTAACGCGACCTGAAATAACCGACTTTCAATGAAACTCCTCGCGTGGTGGCCCCCTAATCTGGATATTTGCCAACTGCCCTAATTCAAGGGTTCACCTTCCTAATACCGTGTAACGTTCGGGCACACGCGCGATCGCGCGTCATCTGCGCTTCCTCCCTTTCATTCTTCCGCTCCTTTCGTGCTCGAGTCAGGTTTAACCAGCGAGTGTGTCCGAGGAAAAAAGATTCGATGTTGCTTTATCACTGTCAGAAAAATCAAAGTCATTTTTTTTATCACTGACACGTACAACTGCGCGCGAATAAAATCTTTCGTTGCGCTCCGAAACAAATATAATGTTTAATGAATGTAGTTGGTAATGAAAAGAATGTTTAATCTTCCCTCGAGATAAGTCTCACAGTTAAATCTGAACATATTTTCTCAATAAGTCTGTTTGATAATGATATATTGCACCGGAATCTTTATTCTGACAGTTGAATTTCATCGTTTTATCTTATCTGCTGTGTATTTTTAGAAATATATCTCGCGATACGAGAATCTATCGTCCTTTTCAAGCTCTTATCTCTGACTTCAGCTGGCAAGGTAGCAAATATCGGGAAAAAATATATTCTAGCTATTCGATCGCACCCTCGGTGATCAATGCGCGAATCACACTTGCCCAACGCCACGAGCTCGTGCTACGCAAGAGCCTGTGACGTCACTCGTTGCAGAACCGGATGGGTGAACCCCGTCTCTCCCGTCCGTGGGGCACCGTATTATGCGGCATACGCGGTGCTATACGGGGTGACAGATTATTATGGCGCACATACTGCTCCCCGGCTAGGCATTGTGCCAGGGATACAATGGCCCGGACCTGTCTCGGCCACGCATCCACGTCCTTCATTGTTAGTTAACGCGAGTCGTCCCTCCTGCTCACCCCTATCTCACCTCGGATTTGCAAGCGTACGCCAGCGTCCTGCCAAGTGCGCGAATGAAAATATAAATTTATCGCCATTAAGAAGGCTCTCTTTAATCGTTTCAGGGGGGAAACAACAATGTTGTCTAACTGACGAGAGAATTGTGAAAGCGCGCGTTTCTTTACGGAGAAGCGAGCGATTATATTTTCTTCTTCTCAATCACGAAGATCGATCCACCGTTACTTCTCGTTACAGTACGGATTATTCGAATAACAAAGTCAAAAAATTCCACAAATATCCCTCGTGACAAAATCGACAACGTGAATCTAAACATGACAAAGTGTATTGATTAAGTGACGGAAATGCATGTGTGATATCACAGTAGGTTGTAAGAATCAGCCGGAGATAAGAGAAAAATGGGGATACGGGATGAGAAAGAAAGAACAAAGCCGTCGTCGATTTTACCGGTGCAACGGCAAGACCGGTAAAATCACGGTCGCGTAATCAGGTAAACAGCGTGGTGATAAAGTGTCGCCTCGCAGAAAGAAGCCTTTGTTGTTTTCGCCGCATCGTCAGGGTGAGAGGAGAAAGAGGGGCACCGTCGTGATGCCCGTGGTTGTACAGTGTACTTCCGGTCACGAGGTGGTTCAACAGGTCAGACCAACGGGGGAGCCAGATGAAACCACTTCCGGCGTGCCCCCTCTTTTTCCCCCCTTTTTTAGCACCACTCGTTTGTATCTTTCTCTCTTCTTCTCTCTTTATTAGGTTTTTATTTTGCTTCTCTCCGTGTCTAAAGAAGCCTAAATTGACAGACGCATTTTGAAAAACGATTTATCGTGAGTCCTTTTAATATATAATACGAACTTGAAGCTGAAGTTGAAATGCAAGAGAGTAAAGTCTATTTGACCGCCGTGTTACGGTCGAAAAATCTGCGCTTACATTCATACGCTCGTACATACGCGAAGGAACGAGCGTCACGCGACTCCCTTCGCGCTACCTTCGCTCTTTCATTCATACGCAACGCGAGAGTTTACGTGCGCGAGACCGCAACGCGCGGTCGAGACCATATGCGCTGGTATGCGTGCACTTTCTTGCAAGAGAGCGGCACGAAGGGAAAAGAGAGAACTCAATGAACCACCGTCGGGGGTTGCACTTCCGCCGGGTCGCGACAGAGTCTCGCTGCGTTTCGCCCACGTTAACGCGAGAACTCGCGAAATCTCTCGCGATTTAATTCGCCGAATTTTTTACTCCTCACATCTGCCGGCGAAAGCCGCGCTTAATTACCTTCATTCGTTACGCGAAAGCAAAATATGTTAATTCGCGAATATTATCGAGTTTAATCTTGGGCTGACGGCGACAGTTGCTTCACGCGCCCGTCCCCATGAAGATACCGCCGCAGCTGAGCCGCCGTCGATCTTAATCGAGCGTTGTGAATTTTGTGCGACGATTATGCCGACACCCGTACGATTCCGTTCCGCCCGAAGAGATTCAACGAATTTGGGGCTCTTTGTTTCCAACAACACTTCGATGCATTAATGAAGCTATCAGTCCGGAGATTAGAGAGCTACGTAAGACCGCTACGTTGCCCGAATGATACCATCACGGGACAAAAATAATTGACACAGCAAATGCGACGCAACGGAGATGCAACGGGGATGGATTTTGAGTGGACGATCTCTCACGCCGGGATTGCATCTCGGCAGGGTGTCCCGCGACGATAAAATTCGTTGGATACCAACAACCGGGCGAGCTGGGAAAGTAAACACGGAAAAGGATTAAGTCGAGTGCTTGCGAATCAAACAAACCGTTGGCCGCTTTTTCGGCTGTGAGAACTCAGGCGCCCGTGCAAACGGAATATATATCCGTCCGAGCGGGAACCACATCGCAGGGAGAGCGCGTGTTCCCACTCCTTTTTTCCTTCCTTTCTTTCTTCCGGTTTCTATCTGGCACTCGTTCGCCGCACCGGTATGAAATCGCGCGGATCCACCTGTCGTCGTGTAAAGTTTTCTCGGAAGGCCGCCTCGAAAGACTGGTAGTTAATGAACTTGGGAACCTCGGGGATAGGACTGTGAAATTCTCAGCGGTAATCTAACTCGGCGGTTTTGGCGCCAGAAGTATCCACGGAGACGGCCGAAAATAACTGTTTTGTAAATGGGTCGCGTTTTACGGCCAAATGAGATTTTGTCGCGTATAGCGGCGAAAAAAATTGTACTTGCCTCTATCAAACGAAACTCTATTTTATATTTCTACTCCGTTCTCTTCGTACGAAAGCAATCCCGGCTGATTGAATCGTTTGATGAATCAGCGAAAAACGCTCTTTCTTTCCGCCCGCGATACCGCCTCCCAATTATCGCAGCCGCGCCGCGAGCGGCCTACGTGACGAAAAATGCGAGAGCGTATTTACGGCGGCTTAACGTGGGCGCGTCGTCGACGTGATTCACGTAATGACTCGTAATTCTCCGGCGGATTCACTTAATACTATTGTGCGGTTTCCGAGCAATTGGTAAAGATTCACCGAGGGTCGGCTGGGGCTTTTTGGTAGCGGGCAGTCCCTCGGGGCGTAAGTGGACGCACGTATTTCTCGACTCCACCTGGAAAGAGCCGAGTTTCTTAATCACGATCCCATCGCAGCTGTCAATATAGAACGTTCCAGATTGCCTCGCGAAGGAGAATCGCCTTTATTTTCAATCACGACGGAGCGACTGTCGCCAAACTGGACTGTGAGCTTTGGTTCATGATATTGACGCAATGCCATCATTCCTCGAGAGATATTTCCGAGCGGATCGACGTTGAAACTCGCAACGAGACAGAAAAGAAGAATTTCAACGTTATTTTGATCACTCTCTTTTATTCTCCACGGAGATTAAAGTTTGATTGATTTAACGCGACAATGTAATCAAACGCTTTGAAGGGAACGGAAGTTTTATTTCACTCAGCCAAAACGCGTTTGGTTCGTTTTTCGTCACCTTAAATCAACCGATCTTTTTCTCTAGAGCCGAAACCTCGATGATTTACGCTTCGAACAATTGTGAAAACAACATGTAATAAGTAAATATCGAAGAAAAAAATGTCAGATCGCATCTCGAAACTAAAGTCCGGGACGAGCGAGTCCGCGGTGGCGGGGCGCAAAAGGATACCGGGGCCTCTTCTTCGGGACACGTGGTGGTGGGGACGCGGCACGCGTGCCACGT